GTCATAAAGAATAAACCCTTGTAGCGATCTCTTTTACGCTGTGTTGGCCTCAAAACCATGTAATAAATTCTTTTATTCACAACAGCCCGTGCAAATGCAAGAGATCTGTGAGCATAGAAGACAATGGAAATAGTTTGAAATCTCACGAGTTTTATCTACATTTCTGAATATTTTAGCACACAATCACAATTGAGGCTAACACAGCGTAAAAGAGATCGCGAAACTCGACTATTGCGGTTCATTTCAACACGAAACGAGAAGGACGAGAAATGCGAGGAAATATTGTGGATGAATAACGGTGTAAAAGTTGTAATCCAAACACATTATATCATCATGAAAAAAGGCTTGTAATTTTATTCTTTAGTTGCTAGCTAGCAGAGCACTAGCATTAGCACAGGGAGGGCTTGGGAGAGCCCCAACCTCCCCCCTCCCCCCAAAAAAAGAGTTCTCGTTACCCTAGTTCACGAGAGAGGCTATAGAGACTATCTATTAATTCATCACTAGCATTTTCAATTGCACAATAGAAAAATATAAAATTTAAAGTACTTCTTTTTTGTAAGATTGCATGATGCAGCAAAAAAAATTGTATCTAAAAAAGACAAAAATAATTGTACATAGTATTGAATAGTCTATGTGAAGTACAGTTTGGAATTATCGTGTCAGTGATGTCATCAAAGCAAATGCTCTTTCTCTAAGAAAACCCTTTTCTCTTTCAAATTCAAAAACTAATATATATCTTCGCTACGCTCACTCGAGAGAGATCTTTTCAACACTCGAAGAAAATAAAATCCGTATCTCCGCACGACCACGTAATATCTTCTATTTAATATATGACTTGGATAGTACACGCGTTCTGATTGGCTTACGCGAGGGCGATATTTTGCCATCTCCGACCGATTACCATGACAACGGCCCGAAAGTCATATCCCGAGCGCCCGTTTGTTGACATTTTTCAAGGCGCGAGATTTGATATTTTTGTGAACTGAATTTGAGAATAACTATACGAGAAGCAAGCAAAGAAAAATTAAGAATGACGAGGAAGAATATTTTTCAAGCGAAATTTATTATTCTGACGAATTTGAGTTGAAGAAAACATGCATGAAAACGCCACATCCGAAGCGAAGTTCAAAACTCCAAGCCAAGGAGTTGTTGTTTTGACAGTTGTTTGTAAAAAACTAGAAGGCGAAATCACAATACGAAAACCAGGGTCTAATATAATCATTTTATACAAGTATCCATCTATTGAAAAAGGTATTACTGAGAGTGAGCAGCTTTCCGGTGGAGTGCTATCAGACCATTCAGTTCATGAAAATGAAATCGCTTTCAAAGCAGATTTCAAAGAAGCATGCAGCGACARSTTGAAGAGGATGRCTCCYAACTAAACATCTTCAAAGACAAGGAATTTAACACGTAAAGAACCGTTCTTGTAGTAAAGCGAAGACCCTTGTACAGAGAGGAAAAGGCAACAAAACACAAGTGACGAAATCTCTAATGAAAGACGAGAAGGCGCTTCGTGACTATACTAATAAAACCCATGTTAGAAATTCACAGCAGCACTTAATGAAACTTCAAGATTTCCAAAGGTCCAGTGACGGTTCAACAAGGGGAAAGGCGTCGAAATGCTATCACTGAAAGCGCCGATGAAGATTGAAAACGATTTGATTGTAGATAAAGTAGATAAAGCCTACTTATTTGTTTGTTTTCGTTGTGCTTTGACTAGATGAAAGACCCACGATTGTTGTTTTTCCACGAAATAAGTATCTTTCGAGACATTTAAATGATTGTTCTTCTGTTCTTCTTTCTGGTGTAAAAAACACACATTTTTGACAATTTGATTCCATGTGCTTTGCTTGCTTCAGTTGGACCAATCGATAGTCYAATCGATATTCGCGCGCTGTTTACAGTTTGCTTTTCCGATGTACAAAAAGTCATATAAATAAAAGTGTTATAACCTCGTTTGCTCGGTCTGTACGGAAAAATATCGGACCTCGGTCTCTAATGTACGGACCTCGGCCTACGGAGGCCTCGGTCCGTACTGTCGAGACCTCGGTCCGATATTTTTCTGTACAGAGCTCGCGTAACACATTCAGTTTCTCTATATATTGGAAGTAAAACAGATACTTTACGACAAAATTTGCTTTCATATATAATTATATGATAAACAGAATATTACATGATCGCTTGGAGATACAAATTTTATCTTGTCGTGTTGAAAACTTCTCAATTCTTCGCTACGCTCCCTATCCTGAGAGATATTTTCAACACTCGAAGATAAAATGCGCATCTCCACGCGCCCATGTAATATCCTCTATGCATTAACTAACCAACTGAAATATGAAAGGCTACATTTAACTTACACAATCAAACAACCTGAATACTGAAAAGATGATTGTCTATCGAAAACCCTGCAGGCTGCGAGGGCAGTGCATTGCTAACCAAACACGCAAAATAAATAAATAAAAATACTAGTTGCAGCGTTGCACTTCAAAATTGCACTTCGAGATGACTTTTTTCGAGACTGTTCTTTAAGAATACAAACAATTTATACTGATAAAGCAATTATTGAGTTCGCTTTTTGAGAAAAACTGCGCATGTAAACACTAACAGATTGAGTGAGAAAAACACCAAAACAACAACAACAAAGAAATAATGTGATCATTCTAACACAACGGTAAAAAGATAGTTCTACTATTACCTATGTAAAAAGCTTGCTATTTTGCCAATTTAATTTTTTTTTACGTTGGTAACAAGTATTAGTTTCATTTAGCAATAGAGTCGAAGTAGCGGTTAAGAGACATACCTTCACAGCCATATAGTTCCAGCCTTAGACACTGATTATGTTTGCACTTTGTGGGTTTAATGGCAACATGTCGTGCTCTCACAGTAGGAAAAATGATTTGTATCTTTTTCCCAGGGTATTCTTCAACTCCAAAAAATTCCTACAAAGTATTCGATTAAATATAATTTAATCAATCATGAACTTTATTATCTAGCCAAATAATCAATCAAACAATCCGAATAAGTCATAATTCAACCAATCGTTCAACCAACGATCACGCAGGCAACAAATCAACCAAGCAACCAACATGCCTAACCAGGCAAACAACTTGTCAGTAGAACAATAAGTCCATTAAGCAATCGATCAGTAAGCAACTAGACAACCAACAAAGCAACCAACCAAGCAACCAACCTACCCACCGACCAAACAACCAAGCAACCAAACCACCAACCAAGCAACCAACCAAGCAACCAAGCAACCAAATCAACCTCTCCACCAACCAATCAACCAAACCACCAACCAAGCAACCAACCAACCTACCCACCAACCAAGCAACCAACCTACCCACCGACCAAGCAACCAAGCAACCAAACCACCAACCAAGCAACCAAACCACCAAACAAGCAACCAACCAAGCAACCAAGCAACCAAATCAACCTCTCCACCAACCAATCAACCAAACCACCAACCAA